TAAATACTGCCGCAAGTGACGTTACATGCCCGATCACCAATTCGCCCTGACATAGAAAAATGTAAATAAACTCTCAGGTTCTATTCTACTTAACACACATTTATTTGAAAAGAAAATATATTGACCGAATCAGCTCATTCACTCGTCGAGAATAATCAGTGAAAACAAAATAAACTGATAAAGTAAATGCAAGGAAGTTTTAAAATAGATGCTGTCCAAATATACCCTGCGTGGCACTCAGACTGTCCAGCAGTACCATTTGTCCCCAGCCACCTGTCCGATAACAACTGATGTTTTATAGATTACACAAGACCACTCAACGGTAGCAGTAATTGCATTTGTAGACGACCAGAGATTCGGTGATGCCAGCGTCACGTCATTAGATGAAAAGACTAATTTATTACACTTAGATTGCTGTGTCAATATCACAGAGTGTATATGCAATATTCATTCGTTTATACCGCATTTGTATTTAAATGTTTTCATCACCCCCCAAAAAACTATTTGCATTGCATCATTATTTTTAAAGTACAACAGGATGTGAATCAACGGACCAAAATAGTTCATGAACAGTTGATGCAAGAGCGGGCAAGACATTGGAAAAAAGCAAGGGACGTGTCAATGAAAGGAAGTATCGTGCAGGTTAATATGATAAGAGTAAACCCGTGGTTTACCCATTTGCAGTCACCGGATGTGTGATCCATTCATATATTTCTTTCTTTGAGATAACGAACTGATTGTGCTGATTTTTTTATACCAACCTCAATTCCGTCAAAACATTTCATTTTTTAGTTTTGTAAACCGACAAATTCCTGGAAAAATTCATTCCTTGAACTATGAGGCATTTGTTATTAAACGTTTTGTTTCCTTTGTTTGTTGTTTAACGCCAGACTCAGCAATATTCCAGCTATATGGTGGCGGTCTGTAAATAATCCAGTCTGGACCAGACCGACTAGCATAAGTTGCTGAAGACCAATTCTAACCCGAATCTTCACGGGTATGTTACTAAACGTAATGACCACGGGTGGGATTCTATGAAGGTCAGATCGTGCGAAATAGATTTTTAATGCCCCATCAACTTTGGATATCATTTTTCGTTTAGTTGATAAGATTAACGATGATCTGCATGACGATCGGAAACATTTTGATTGAGCACTGCGAGAACCAATTATCGTCTACATCGACAAACTGAATTACATCTAATAGCGCTTGAGCCATTTTGTGCCTGGAACAGATCAAAGTTGATTGTGGAGATGCCAAAATTGATGGGGTTTGTGGTTTGTCTTGCTATCGGTCACTCGTCCATCTGGTCCATACTAACAGCTGGTCATAGCACAGCTAGAATATTTCAGTCTGCGGCGTAAAACAACATTCGCTCACACATTGTCTTGTTTCAAGCTTATTCCTTTTGAGAACACCTGGTGTCATAATTGCCAGAAGATCAGGTTACGACTTGATCTTCAGTAACCCATGCGTGTCGTAAGAGGCGACTAACGGGATCGGGTGGTCAGGTTCGCCGACTTGGTTGACACATGTCATCGTACCCCAATTGCGTAGATCGATGCTCATGCTGTTGATCACTGGATTGTCTGGTCCAGACTCGATATAGCTGGAATATTGCTCAGTACGGCGTTAAACAAAAAAAATCAAGTGCCTTTTCATGTTATTTCGCTACAAGTTTGCTCTTTGACCCAGTAGAATCTCTGTCGGGAGATAACCTTGAATGGCTGCTCTCTTGCGTTGACATTCTATATTTTAAATGCAATTTCCCATCAACATCAATATACTTTGATTAAGGCATCCGAATCAAATACACCATTAACATATGCTATACAGCGTGGTAACTATATACCTTTAGTAGCCAGAGTGCGATATTTCCCTTGTGGCTATACCACTCTGTGACTGGAGACTCGCTTCGAGAAGGTAGAACCCGGTTGAGCGAGTGGCTGAGCTGAGTAAAGGTCAACAAACGTAAATCCCAAAATGCATTTGGATGCCCACAAAACTTATCATGGATACAAGCGTGGGAGGTTGACATTTTCGCACAGTGCTAATCACATAGGCATACATGCATATGATTCAGTAACGGTTTGACCATCTCTGCATGGAATCACAAAGGGACTCAAGAGTGGCTGGAAATGTCACCGGATCTCTGGAGGTAAATATATAACATCGACGCCAGAGAATACCAGTCTCAATTATTCGAGAAAGCAGATTAAAACTGGCGTAAGGGTTCAGATGTGTGAAAAGTATATGAACATATGACTGAAATTAGTGATGACACCAGGTGTTCGCTTAAAGAAGGACACCGTTATGACAAGCAGGATATGCATGGTCATTTATTAAGAAACGGCTTAAAGGAAGCGTCCTTTCGAATTGCTAAAAGGAACTTAATGATTAATTATTATAAAACTTGAGTAATTAATTAATAAATTCATTACTTTACCACAACAAACAATATTCCTGTATGCAAAGATACAATTAACAAACCTATTAAATATGCAGATTTATCAGGAAATACATAACTTCATTATATGATTTCCCTGATCAAATACTTTTCTAACCATTATTTCCAACCGCGGATACTCTGGTCGAATGGACATGGTCTCCAGCCCAATGGAGATGGCTTATCACACAGATGACATTTTAAACAACAATATTGGTATTTCCCATGTAGGAAGCGTGACTGTTCAATAGAGTTTTCAATTAACCTCAACTGGGGATATTGGGGATTAATTTCTCTGTGGAACCATCCGGTTATTGTCTCCCTCGTTTACGCTATTCAGAAGTCCATTATCCCTTGTAGCGACTTAAGAGCCATGCAAGTTTGTCCTGCTTGTACATGCCCACCTACCTAAACACAGCAAACTCACTAGAGAAAACGTTGGACTATAGAAGATTTGTCAATGAGCTGTGTGTTGCCTCACTGATGTTATGTTCATGTTAACAAACAGCTCGGCTTGAGTTAGTAGTTATATGTGGACGTTTGTGAGACCTTAATTCATCCGATCTGATGGACTGAAAAGTATTTTCTTTATACACATATGACAGCCATTTTTTGTATACATAGAATTTACATATTTATGATATAAAAATAGTATATAACATACAAATATAGAACGCCAGTGTATCAGAAACAAACGTGGGGTGTAAATGATAAATAGCTGTGAAAACACATACCAGAGTACAGTATACGAAAGAGAGGAAGACGATGGGTTATTATAGACAATATTGTGTTTGGCTTTGATTCATCTAATCTTACAATAGTCTAAAATTAATTTCATAAGCATATGAATGGTCGTTATGTGAACATTCCAACAATTATGTGAACAATTCCAGCCAGAATATCTTCTAGGAACCCATTCCTATGTTCATCGGTGGGGTAGCCTTGTGGTTAAGGCGTTCGCTCGTCACGCCGAAGACCCGGGTTCGATTCCCCACATGGGTACAATGTGTGAAGCCCATTTATGGTGTCCCCCGCCGTGATATTGCTGGAATATTGCTAAAAACGGCGTAAAACCATACTCAGTCAGTCAGTCCTAGCCTCCCCCGACCAACGCCCTACACACACCCAGAATATAAATCTGTCGGTGCCTTAAGAGCACATGAATTTATGTAATTATTGCATAAATATATGTTGTGATAAACACATTATTAACACAGATTGAGTTAGCAGATTAAGTTCGTGTAAATGCAGCTATGCGTTAATTTTTGGGAAATTTTTATATGACACGACTCGAATTTGATGACACTGTAGTCAGTATACGGTATATTTAAGAGAAACAGTGTAGATAAACAAAGAGACCCTTTTCATAAGTGAAAATATATGTTTTGATTTCAGCATTGAAAAAGAACACTGGAGGCGTTGTCAAAGACACCTCATAGCCTCCCCGATCAATGCCCACCCCCACGTGGTGCACCCCAACCCCCAGTATATACATTTCTTGGTACCTTGAAAGCTTAGGAATTTATGTAATTATTACACACAGAAATGTTGTTATGAACACATTATTAACACGAACAACCTCAAAAGCAATTTACTTTTCGTCTTCTGCCAAGTAACATTTATGCGTCATATCCGGCTGCACCCGTATGACACGACGTCCCCCCTATACCGTAAAACCTGCAAACGCCGGACGCGATCAGTTCCGGAAGGTTCTGACGGGGTTTACTCGCGACAGGTGTTATAGCGAGGCTAAAGAAATCAAAATATAATATCCTTTCTCAAAGTTTCACATTTGTAAGAGAACGGATAAACGGTTCCATTGGGATACAATACCTTCCACATTCAACGTTTCCATCTCTTAAGACTTTACTGGTTTAGCAATTGCATTTATTCAATAATTTACGGTATCTGTTAGGAGTGCTACATTCACCTGGAAACATGGATCACGGCTCGAGAAGTGTTAATCTTTTTGTATTGCATGCTAGGATACAATCGAAATGGAACTCGAGGAAGGCTATTGGTTATACAATAAGCTGTTTATCAGACTAAAATTCATTGAGGGCAATCATTAGAAACAAGCAGAATCTCCCCAATGAGAATAAATACTGGTACTGGATTACCCTTGTCAGTGAATACGGTACAGATTGCGAAATGTGCCTGACAAACGTTGAGAAACAATTATCAGCCACATAATAGTTATTATATTTATATTTGAGAACCTAATTACTAACGTGTTTTGAATCGGCTTCTGATGCAACAGCATCTGACGCATCAGAGGCGGTGGGGTAGCCTAGTCGTTAAAGCGTTCGCTCATCACGCCGAAGACCCGGGTTCGATTCCCCACAATGTACAATGTTTTGAAGCCCATTTCTGGTTTCCCCGCCATGATATTGGTGGAATATTGATGAATGCGGCGTAAAACCCAACTCACTCACTCGTACTAAATGGTATTCTCCCAACATTCAAAATTGGAACACAGCATTTTCACTTTTAAGCGACGTTTATTCAGCTAGTTTGTGTTGATTGAAACTAATATATTATTCAAAAGCCTGAATTATCAAAGCAAATTTATAAAACGTTTATTAGAAACTTACATTTCCAAACCACGATCGAAAATTCATACTTGTGATATTTGATATTCACCCTAGGTTGCATGTGAGATATCATCAAAGGGGCGCCCTCCGGTCATAGAGACACACTCCTTCAACACACCACTGAAACAGACAAAAGTTAGTGAGTGAATATTGGTAACTTGACATAATGTCCATAAACATAAGAAATCACAGCCCAAAGCAGAGTCGACCGCACTACCCTGACAACATCACGAGCATGTATTTATGAATCACCATCAAACAGTTATGACACCAGAATATCCATGTCCGACGATGGCAGCTATCACAAACACACGCAAAGGCTGGTCAATTGTTCGTACAGTACAAACATAAGATACAGATCAAAGTACGGAATACTATTGTCATTGATGCGCCGAAATACCCTCCAAATGTGTACCATAAAACGTCTTAGAAGTTTACTGGGGCCATCAATGCTTAACAATGAGCAAATATCGCATAACCATCTATGAAATCTTCAAGGATCGTGCACGACTGTACCTAATGATTTTGTGAACTGTACACATCATAGATTGGAACTGCCGAGATATTGCTCGACATAAGTAAACTTTGTCTGTTGGGTCAGACTGACTTGTGATTAGTCACTCTGAATCTTTATGCAAAGATCTGATATGAAGCAGACGCGCTTGTCTCGCTGGGTACTTGTTGTTCTTTTTCACGTGGATAAATCAATGGCAGGACATTGGCTGTAAGTACTTTCAGAGTTCTCAATGGCAGCCCCCACCCCCATCCCTAGATTATCAAAATAGTCGGTTCCTAAGTGTTATAGAATAAGATGTGCAGTATAAGATGATATGCAGGAATAACATCATGTGCAACGGTAACATGGTATGCAAGAATGGTCATGCGCAAGATTAAGATGGTATGCAAGAATGGTCATGCGCAAGATTAAGATGATGTGCAAGAATAAGATTATGTGCAAGAATAAGATGTATATAGCAATAAGATGATAAGTCACATCAAGGTTAAGGAGATGAATACGACGATATGCAAGCATAGACTTATCTGCATCAATAACATGATATGCAAGATTAAGACAATACGATGATATGCAAGCATAAGCGTATCTGCATCAATTACATGATATTCAAGTTAAAGACAATACGATGATATGCAAGCATAAGCGTATCTGCATCAATTACATGATATGCAAGATTAAGACAATACGATGATATGCAAGCATAAGCTTATCTGCATCAATAACATGATATGCAAGATAAAGACGATACGATGATATGCAAGCATAAGCATATCTGCATCAATTACATGATATTCAAGTTAAAGACGATACGATGATATGCAAGCATAAGCTTATCTGCATCAATAACATGATATGCAAGATAAAGACGATACGATGATATGCAAGCATAGACTTATCTGCATCAATAACATGATATGCAAGATAAAGACAATACGATGATATGCAAGCATAAGCGTATCTGCATCAATTACATGATATTCAAGTTAAAGACAATACGATGATATGCAAGCATAAGCGTATCTGCATCAATTACATGATATTCAAGTTAAAGACGATACGATGATATAAAGACAATACGATGATATGCAAGCATAAGCGTATCTGCATCAATTACATGATATTCAAGTTAAAGACAATACGATGATATGCAAGCATAAGCGTATCTGCATCAATTACATGATATTCAAGTTAAAGACGATACGATGATATGCAAGCATAAACTTATCTGCATCAATAACACGATATGCAAGAATAAAATAATATGAAAGTAGAGATCTAAGCAAATGCGAGTGACTGACTGACTGAGTTTGGTTTTACGCCGCTTTTAGCAATATTCCAGCAATATCAAGGCGGGGGACGCCAGAAATGGGCTTCGCTCATTGTACCCATGTGGGGATTCGAACCCGGGTCTTCGGCGTGACGAGCCAACGCTTTAACCACTAGACTACCCCGCCGCCCCTAAATGCGAGTGAACTAACGTGAGTGGATATGCTGAAATAAGACACTACGCAAATTTGTGCAAGTTGAATATAATATAAAAGGCATTTAAATAAAATAACTAAAAATGTTCAAGTGAGATGAGACATACATAGGTTTGAAGCTGCAGAATAAAATGAATTCAAACAGATTGAAGCACATTGAAGTCATCGTGTACCTGTATAATACTTTTCAAACAGCACTCAATAACCTTTAGGTATACAAAATTGCAATGCAACACTCCCAGCTCCAAAACAAATAAGGATTATTTTACACGCTCATATGAAATATAGTCAATTTCCTGCTGAAGATAGTGTCGGTATATTTCAGTCTGGAGCGTAATTTCTTTTTCGAACCTGCCGACCCTGAAATGATGCATGGGTAACTGCCATTTATACAGGGTGAGAGAGGTGAAATGAGATTTAGCGTCGCGTTGAATATTCTTTAACGTGCATGTGTATGTGCATGCTCGTCCGGACCTAGGGTGGTATTTTATAGCGCCAGAGAGCAGGGATACCGCGCCACAGTATACCGTGGATACCTTCCGCTGTACGGGCCGATGCCACATCCACTAGACATTTACACGTGGTCCATTCACACAACGGATCCATTTTTCCCTACGACATTTGCCTTATATATTATTGCACGGTGTAAATTGCTTCACGCTGTTGTAAGTGCTATTCAGAGGCGCATTGATGGCGCTAGATATTAGTAGGTGATCTCGCCAGACAGACATCAGTGTCACACTGCACCACACGGTTGTGAGGTGTTGAATATAAACTGACGTACCAAAGTAACTACACACCCGGTTAAAATATTTTCAAATATTTTCAAATCGTTTTGATTGTGACGTACAAGTCACAAACATTGTGTACGTATTACCAGACCACCTCATATATCCTTAACAGCGGTGTGCATGATTTGGTTGGTTGGTTTGTTGTTTAATGCCCCCGGGGCGGTGGGGTAGCCTAGTGGTTAAAGCGTTGGCTCGTCACGCCGAAGACCCGGGTTCGAATCCCCACATGGGTAAAATGTGTGAAGCCCATTTCTGGTGTCCCCCGCCGTGATGTTGCTGGAATATTGCTAAAAGCGGCGTAATACCAAACTCAGTCAGTCAGTCAGTCAGTTTAATGCCCGACTCAGCAATATTCGAGCTATATGGCCACGGTCTGTAAACGGTCGCCTCTTACAAGTCATAGGTTGCTGAAGACCAATTCTAACCCGGATCTTCACGTGTGCATTAGATGATAATTATGACAATCACGATTTTTTAAATAGCACGTGCAATATGAAAATATTACACAGTTGACTAAGATTGTCAGTCGTATACCTGTTAATGGCACACATCAAAATGTTGTCGTTTTGGCAATCAAATAATCCCAAACCTCCAGGTGTGTTCTTTTTCAATGCTAACATGAAAACATATATTTTCGTCTATTAAAAGGATCTGCTATTTTATATACTGTTTTCTCCTTAATATTCCGTATACTTACTACAATGTGATCAAATTCGAGTCGCGTTGTACATATACGACAAGGATTTCGGTATGACACAAGTGTTATCATGCATGATGGCAAGGTGTTAGGGCTTGACACAAGTGTCATTATACGTAATGACATGGGGTTTTGGCATGACACAAGTGTTATCATACATGATGGCAAGGAGTTTGGGCATGACACAAGTGTTATCATTCATAATGACAATGGTTTTCGGTATGATACAAGTGTTATCAGACATAATGCAAGGGTTTTTGGTATATCACAAGTATGATCACACATAATGGCAAGGGTTTTTGATATGACACAAGTGTGATCACACATAATGACAATGGTTTTCAGTATGATACAAGTGTTATCATACATCGGCACAATGTGTATTGAATGGCAGCCCTGGGGTGATTGGAGGGGTGATCCTTGTGCCAAAAAACCTTGGTCTGTTGATCTACTACAAATAGTTCAAATACAAAATAGATGTTGTCTTGAGGGTAAAATGTTGCACTTCACCAATAAGCTCTCTGTTCGACAATATCACATCGAAGGATTTTACCAGTGTGATAGATGTCTACTGCAGGGGATCCACGTTGGGCTTCCGTGCCCGACCCGTGAAGGTCCGGGTTAGAATTGATCTTCAGTAACCCATGCTTATCGTAAGAGGCGACTAACCGGATCGGGTCGTCAGGCTCGCTGACTGGGATGACACATGTTATGTCATCGTATCCCAATTGCGTAGATCGATGTTCAAGCTGTTGATTCCTGCATTGTCTGGTCCAGACTCGATTATTTACAGACCGCCGCCATATATCTGGAATATTGCTGAGTGCGGCGGAAAACTAAACTCACTCACTCACTCACTCACTTCCATGCCCGCTTATACTAAAATGTCGTCAAAATAGGTGAGTGAGTATGGTTTTACGCCGCTTTTAGCAATATTCCCGCAATATCACGGCGGGGGACACCAGAAATGGGCTTCACACATTGTACCCATGTGGGGAATCGGATCCGGGTCTTCGGCGTGACGAGCGGACGCTTTAACCACTAGGCTACACCACCGCCCCAAATGTCGTTAAAAGAGGCGTTATTCCGTCATACTGATGGACAGTGTCCAAGACGACCGTCCACACCTTATGATCATACCACATTATATTTCCTGTATGGAGCGTGTGCACGAAGGAGGTTCCAATTATCCCCATCCCCAACACAAGGAGACTTACAAAGAGGCAGCTTACAGCCCGCACGCCCATAGAACTAGTAAATGTACCTGCTATATTTATGGAGCATGTAATTTACCTAAAAAGTAGACCAGTGTACAGCTTGTTGAGAGTTGAGAGCATTTGCTCATTAGGAAGGGGAATTCTTCCTCTAAAAACCCAACCTAGGTACGAAGCCTCTGCTCTGGGACCTATAGGTCTATTTTTGTCGTTGGACAATCGATATGACCTTTAGCTCCTAATCCGCAATGCAAAGTGAGCATTTTTCAGTTCTCCTTCATTCCCATTAAGTGAGCAAGTGGTATTGGGTGCAACTGGATTCCCAAATTACCCAGTATACGGATGGTTTCCAGGTTTCAGGAAACGAAGTCATTTTTGTAGTGACAGTCAGTTTCAAGGAGTCGAAACTAATGTATCTTCGCGATCCGACCAGATTGATGGCCAAAAAATGCAGCAATGACGTAAAAGGGAACATGAGAAAATTATTTAAAACATTAAAAAAAAAATATGAACGACACAACGATTTCAATATTCAAACAGACATAGGAGTGAGTAAGTGAGTGAGTTTGGTTTTACGCTTCGTTTAGCAATATTCCAGCAATACCACGGCGGGGGACATCAGAAATGGGCTTCACACATTGTACCTATGTGGACAATCGAACCCGGGTCTTCGGCGTGACGAGCGGACGCTTTAACCATTAGGCTACCCTATATAGGAAATATACATAGGAATATGATTTATAAATGAAAAAGAGAATCCAACGCTTTTTTACTTCTCGAAGTCTGTTGTGTAATTATTCATTCCAGGGAGGATGCAGGATTTTGGAGAAGGTTGGGGCTCGGGGGAGTGTGCGCATAAATCATGAAGTCCAAAGGTTACGGGGAATTGCTCCTCAGGGAAAATTATTCGATGGTGAAGGTGAGAGGGGCAAATACTGATCTGTATGGTAGACCTGTCTGTGGAAGTCAATGTGACACCGTCAGCCAAATGAACCTTGAGTGTTTTAGAAAGTCCAAGAACATCGCGCTAAGATCAGATGTGTTGTGTTACAGTGCTAAACGACTGATAGTCTGCATCCTGGAATAGTCTGACTTGTGCCAACAACATATTGTATTCCGCCAGACTAACCTCAGAATATAACAGGCCAGAGTCCACTTTAAAGGGGAAGTTTTACACGAAATTAACCTTTTTCTTTAATAACAATAACAGCAAATTTAGAATTAATTAACATGCTTGAAAAATATACGGTTCCTTTTTCACACACTGGAAGTAGGACGTTCTAAGTACTCGTAGAAATATGAAGCCGTTATTAGTACGATCTAAAACAGACAAGAGTTACTCCCTTAGATTATGACGCAATTGGTTCCAGTTTGGCAGGATCCTTGCTTTGAACAACAGTATATTCTATAACCATTTGCTAATATGAACCAACACATCCAATTTTACAGATTATGACTTTCAAATGATGTTGGATGGAAACGACGAACAGGAGGTGGAAACAAGAGAAGTCCTTAATACTCAGAAGTACAATGTTCAGACAGTAGTTGATTTAATTACAAGGGTCTGTTATATTTCCGTCTCCTGGTTTACAGCAATGAAATATTTGCCTGCGAAAACCGATCTGTGTGATGTTGTAATAGAAAAAGAAGTCATTATGTTCTCGTTATTATCTTCGTGCAGGCGTGGTATATTCCATCACTGGATAGAGTGAGTGAGTGAGTGAGTGGCTTGGATTTAACGCCGCGTTGAGCAATATTGGAGACATATCACGAAGAGGGACACCAGAAATGGTCTTCACACATTGTGCCCATGTGGGGAATCGAACCTGGGTCTTCGGCGTGACGAGCGAACGCTTTAACCTCTAGGCTAAACCACCGTCCCCAATGGGTAGAGGATGAGCTGGGTTCAACGCCGTCGCTTGAACTTCATCAAAACCAAGTGAAACCCAGGAGATAAGGCATGGTGTTCGGGATCCGAGGTTCGAACACATGCAGCGGATCCAAGAGCAGTTCAGACATTTATAATACTGTTGCAACATTTGAGACTATTTTGCCGACCGTGTTCTCATCAGTGAATGAAAACAACAACAGAACAGCAATGATAGATATACATTTTAAAATACGATAAATGACGATGATGATGATGATTATGATGATAATAATGATGCTTCAAATCCTCACTATTAACAGTAAGAGGCGACCAACGGGATAGGGTGGTCAGGCTCGCTGACTTGGTTGACACATGTCATTGTATCATTGATGCTCATGCTGTTGATCACTGGATTGTCTGGTCCAGACTCGATTATTTACAGACGGCCACCATATACATGTGGGCGTAAAATAAAACTCACTCACTCACTATTAGGCATGCGCCAAGCGTTACATTATTCACCCTTCGACGAACAGTATGCAAAGGTTGTTTTTTTCATTCTCCGCTCCTTGGGAAGTATACAACCCAAGCTGCCCGTAAGGCGTTAGAAGGTTAGCAGTCAAATTACTCATCCAACCGAAAGCTACGAGACAAACTAGGAAACATGAAAAGAAAATAACAAGTAAATGGCGATTAAGAAGCCAATGGAAGACTGGAGGAACAGACAAACCATGACCAACATAACTGAAGAATTGAATGCAACAATGTAAAGACTAACAGATTAATAATTGATACGCGAAATGCATAATGGATGTCATTGAAAGACAACACATTACAAACTATGACAGAAGCTATGGGAATTTATGTTAAGTTATTCTAGCGGACAAATACAGTATCTTTCCTCGAGATTCCTTTGAGAAACCAGGGACGGATAATCCGTACATGTTCGCTGATGTAGGCCTGATTGGTTTGTTTGTTGATCACTTGATTGTCAGGGCCCCTATCCACAAAACGTTCTTGGCGCTACGACATTCGTAAGCCAGTGATAAACTATAGAGTTACGATAGGTCGTAACGTTACGTACGCTCTGTGGGCCGGGACGCTGGCTAGCTATTCTCGAAACGTTCGTAGTCCTACGAACTTCTTAAGCCCATTCTTTACACACATTGGCCAAAGGGACCGTTTCTGGTTTGTATCCAGGGTCGGTTTCCAATGGCAGGAGTACTGCTTTTGCGTTGACGGGCTGTAAATACTCATATTTTAGGCAAATTGTGTGAATGGCGGGTGTTACCTAGAGGGCAGGACATGCTTACCCTTGTTCTAAACACCTGGTGTCCTCCCTGAACTGCGGGTGGTGGGATAGTTTAATGGTTAAAGCGTTCGTTCGTCTTGCCGAAGATCCCTGTTCAATTTCCCAACTGTGTGAAGCCCATTTTCCCCTTCCGTAATGTTGCTGGAATATGGGTAAACGCGTTGTCACTCACTCACTCAATTTCTGTTTGTACCTTGTTCGGGCCACATGATGTTCCAAGAGCCGCCGCTGACTTGGTAGAGCACACGTTGCTCAGTAAAGGGTCCCAGCACCACATCTTGTGGCATATGTCCCCCAGTGTTGTGCCCGTACTCTAGAGGGAAATAAAAGAATTCACTGGGTCGTAATATGTTCTATACATCGTTTGCTGCAACCGAGTGACTGAATGAGATCATTATGTCAACTTGATGTGAAAGGAAAGCCTGATATGGTGCTGGTCTTACCACTTATGTTTACCACTTTGGCGAAGCCCGTGATCACGTATGAGGTGTGGAATCCAAAGGAGGAACGGAATCACTGTGACTCAGGGGTTCATAGGGCTGATAATATTTTTGCGAAGCCTTTACGACCCCAAGGATCCAACCGGACAGAAATCAGTCCCATATAATGGTCCACACTGCTGTGAGACATTGGACATATGTAGAAGGGCAGTGATGGAACTAAATGTTAGTTTGTGATCTCACCAGACAGATGTTGGTCCACACTTCTGTGAGATATTGTACATATGGAGATGCGCAGTGATAGAACTAGCTATCGGTTTGTAATCTCACAAGGCAGAAATCAGTCCCACATATTGGTCCACACTGCTGTGATATATTGTACATGTATATTCATAGAAACGAATAAGGGAACACATGAAAGTACAAGTGTTTCTTTATTTATTTCCAGAATTTCACTCACAGTGGAATACACTTGTACTTTCATGTGTTCCCTTATTCGTTTCCATGAGTATATGTAGAGGGGCAGTGATGGCACTAGCTATCAGTTTGTAATCTCACCAGGCAGAAATCAGTCCCACATTTTAGTCCACACTTCTGTGAGATATTGTACATATTTAGAGGCACTAGATGTTGGTTTGTAATCTCACCATACAGAAATCAGTCCCATATACTGGTCGACACTATTGTGAGATATTGTACATATGTAGAGGGGCAGTGATGGCACTAGCTATCAGTTTGTAATCTCACCAGGCAGAAATCAGTCCCACATTTTAGTCCACACTTCTGTGAGATATTGTACATATTTAGAGGCACTAGATGTTGGTTTGTAATCTCACCATACAGAAATCAGTCCCATATACTGGTCGACACTATTGTGAGATATTGTACATATGTAGAGGGGGCAGTGATGGCACTAGCTATCAGTTTGTAATCTCACCAGGCAGAAATCAGTCCCACATTTTAGTCCACACTTCTGTGAGATATTGTACATATTTAGAGGCACTAGATGTTGGTTTGTAATCTCACCATACAGAAATCAGTCCCATATACTTGGTCGACACTATTGTGAGATATTGTACATATGTAGAGGGGCAGTGATGGCACTAGCTATCAGTTTGTAATCTCACCAGGCAGAAATCAGTCCCACATTTTAGTCCACACTTCTGTGAGATATTGTACATATTTAGAGGCACTAGATGTTGGTTTGTAATCTCACCATACAGAAATCAGTCCCATATACTGGTCGACACTATTGTGAGATATTGTACATATGTAGAGGGGTAGTGATGGCACTAGCTATCAGTTTGTAATCTCACCAGGCAGAAATCAGTCCCACATTTTAGTCCACACTTCTGTGAGATATTGTACATATTTAGAGGCACTAGATGTTGGTTTGTAATCTCACCATACAGAAATCAGTCCCATATACTGGTCGACACTATTGTGAAATATTGTACATATGTAGAGGGGCAGTGATGGCACTAGCTATCAGTTTGTAATCTCACCAGGCAGAAATCAGTCCCACATTTTAGTCCACACTTCTGTGAGATATTGTACATATTTAGAGGCACTAGATGTTGGTTTGTAATCTCACCATACAGAAATCAGTCCCATATACTGGTCGACACTATTGTGAGATATTGTACATATGTAGAGGGGCAGTGAAGGCACTAGCTATCAGGTTTGTAATCTCACCAGGCAGAAATCAGTCCCACATTTTAGTCCACACTTCTGTGAGATATTGTACATATTTAGAGGCACTAGATGTTGGTTTGTAATCTCACCATACAGAAATCAGTCCCATATACTGGTCGACACTATTGTGAGATATTGTACATATGTAGAGGGGCAGTGATGGCACTAGCTATCAGTTTGTAATCTCACCAGGCAGAAATCAGTCCCACATTTTAGTCCACACTTCTGTGAGATATTGTACATATGTAGAGGCGCTAGATGTTGGTTTTTAATCTCACCATACAGAAATCAGTCCCATATATTGGTCGACACTATTGTGAGATATTGTACATATGTAGAGGGGCAGTGAAGGCACTAGCTATCAGTTTGTAATCTCACCAGGCAGAAATCAGTCCCACATTTTAGTCCACACTTCTGTGAGATATTGTACATACGTAGAGGCGCTAGATGTTGGTTTGTAATCTCACCAGACAGAAATCAGTCCCATATATTGGTCGACACTATTGTGAGATATTGTACATATGTAGAGGGGCAGTGATGGCACTAGCTATCAGTTTGTAATCTCACCAGGCAGAAATCAGTCCCACATTTTAGTCCACACTTCTGTGAGATATTGTACATACGTAGAGGTGCTAGATGTTGGTTTGTAATCTCACCAGACAGAAATCAGTCCCATATACTGGTCGACACTATTGTGAGATATTGTACATATGTAGAGGGGCAGTGAAGGCACTAGCTATCAGTTTGTAATCTCACCAGGCAGAAATCAGTCCCACATTTTAGTCCACACTTCTGTGAGATATTGTACATACGTAGAGGCGCTAGATGTTGGTTTGTAATCTCACCAGACAGAAATCAGTCCCATATATTGGTCGACACTATTGTGAGATATTGTACATATGTAGAGGGGCAGTGATGGCACTAGCTATCAGTTTGTAATCTCACCAGGCAGAAATCAGTCCCACATTTTAGTCCACACTTCTGTGAGATATTGTACATACGTAGAGGTGCTAGATGTTGGTTTGTAATCTCACCAGACAGAAATCAGTCCCATATACTGGTCGACACTATTGTGAGATATTGTTCATATGTAGAGGGGCAGTGATGGCACTAGCTATCAGTATGTAATCTCACCAGGCAGAAATCAGTCCCACATTTTAGTCCACACTTCTGTGAGATATTGTACATACGTAGAGGTGCTAGATGTTGGTTTGTAATCTCACCAGACAGAAATCAGTCCCATATACTGGTCGACACTATTGTGAGATATTGTTCATATGTAGAGGGGCAGTGATGGCACTAGCTATCAGTTTGTAATCTCACCAGGCAGAAATCAGTCCCACATTTTAGTCCACACTTCTGTGAGATATTGTACATACGTAGAGGTGCTAGATGTTGGTTTGTAATCTCACCAGACAGAAATCAGTCCCATATACTGGTCGACACTATTGTGAGATATTGTACATATGTAGAGGGGCAGTGAAGGCACTAGCTATCAGTTTGTAATCTCACCAGGCAGAAATCAGTCCCACATTTTAGTCCACACTTCTGTGAGATATTGTACATACGTAGAGGTGCTAGATGTTGGTTTGTAATCTCACCAGACAGAAATCAGTCCCATATACTGGTCGACACTATTGTGAGATATTGTTCATATGTAGAGGGGCTAGATGTTGGTTTGTAATCTCACCACACAGAAATCAGTCCCATATATTGGTCGACACTATTGTGAGATATTGTACATACGTAAAAGGGCAGTGATGGCACTAATGTTAGTTTGTAATCTCACCAGACAGAAATCAGTCCCATATATTGCTTCACACTGCTGCGACACGTTGTACACCTGGCCTGGCATCGTGGCCGACACAGATTCATACAGGTGATTCACCGGCGCCTTGTTGTAAACGCAGTAGGCTGATTGTTTTCTGTAAAACGAACGCGGTCTTTGTTAGATGTCCGAATTGATGCCGTCCACAGACGAGACAACATTGTGCAATGTGACAATCAATGAGACAGGGTCGGACAGCTCGAGTTGTGTAAATGATGGACGTTAGAGGTGTTGTGTTGCTGTACGTAGTGGAAGAAGTTGACGGCGTGGTAGGCGTAGTAGGGAGTATTGTATTGGTAGTTGTTGTGGGGACGTAGTAGTATGAGGTGAGGTGAGGTGAGGTGAGGTGAGGTGAGGTGAAATTGGGTTTAACGTCGTGCTTCAGAATATTTCGCTCATATGACGACGTGCATGCGTGTGTATGTGTATGTGCGGCTGCTTGTACTAGCCCAGACTGTAGCTGGTTTTATAGTGCTAGCTCACTGAGATACCATGCTGCAGTGAAGCATGAATACCCCACTCAGACACATTATACAGTGACTCCGAGCCGACCAGTCCTTGTTGTGCCAATTAATGTCGAGCGCCAGGCAGGGACCAACAAGTAACATATTTTAACGTCTTTTGGTATGACGCGATCGGGGATCGAACCCGCGATCTTCCGCTCTCCGGACGGACGCTCTAACCACTACACCATGGAGGCGGTCAGTAGTATGAGTTGTGGCGGGATATGTCGTGTAGTTGATGTGACTTGTAGGGCGGGTTGTGTTAGAGGAAGTGGTAGGAGAGGGTGGTTTGTTGGGGGGATTGGTTGGTTTGTTGTTTAACGCCGCACTCAGCAATGTTCCAGTTATATTGCGGCTGTCTTACGGCAAGCATGGGTTTTTTGTTGGAGGAAGTGATAGGAGAGGGTGGTTTGTTGGAGGTAGTGGTACGATGTGTTGTTGGAAGAAGTGACAGAAGAAGTTGCGTTGTAGGAGGAAGTGGTAGAATAAGTTGTGGTTGGAGGAAGTGGTAGTAGAGGTTGTGGTTAGAGGAAGTGGTAGTAGAGGTTGTAGTTAGAGGAAATGGTAGTAGAGGTTGTGGTTGGAGGAAGTGGTGGGAAGTGTTGTTTGAAAAAGTGACAGCAGAAGTTGTGTCGTAGGAGGAAGTGTTAGCAGAGGTTGTGTCGTAGGAGGAAGTGTTAGCAGAAGTTGTGTCGTAGGAGGAAGTGTTAGCAGAGGTTGTGTTGTAGTAAAATAGTAATAAAAAAAAATTAAACACAAAAATGTTGTGTTCTAGTACGTGGCAGGAGAGATTATTTGTCTGTATGTTTTGTGTGTTCTTTAACGCCGCACTCAGCAATATTCCAGCAACATAGCGGCGGTCTGTAAATAATCGAGTCGGGACCAGACAATTCAGTGATGGACAGCATGAGCATTGGTACACGAAATTGGGATACGATGGCTGGTGTCAACCAAGTCAACGAGCCTGACGACCCGATACGGTTAGTCGCCTCTTACGACAAGCATTGGTTGGTAAAGACCAATTCTAACCGGATCTTCACGGGTGGATTGGGTGGTCAGGCTCGGTGACCTGGCTGTTTGCGTTTCACAGTGGTGCAATGGCCTAGGTAACTGTTAATGATTCGATGACCGGTTTATCTTGTTTAGATTCGGACGGTTACAAAATTGCGAGCCTGACCACCCGATCCGGTTAGTCGCCCCTCACTAACGCATGGGTTGCTGAAATTCTAACCCGGATCTTCACGGGTTAGGATAGATTGTGTTGTTGAAGGAAATGGTAGGAGAGATTGCATTGTTGGAGGAAGTGGCAGGAGAGGTTACACTGTTGGGGAATTTGTAGGGTAGGTATCGGAGGAAATGTTAGGGTGTCTTGTTCTTGAAGGAAATGGTACGACAGGCTGTGTTGTTGGAGGAAGTGACAGGGTGTGTTGTGTTGATTAAGAAATTGACCGGAGGCGATCTGAAGTTGTAGGAAGTGGCAGGATGCCTTTATATCTGCGCACTAGCGATGGTTAACTTCCGGTATGCAGAAACTGGAATGTGAGTAGAATCGATATATCAGGCCTTCGTTTAACTACTATTAATGTTTTTTACGTCTAGCCATGGCCTGTTTTCAAGCGTCTCAGTGATTCGATCATCAATGTACATGTAGTAACAGGATCATTTCAATTTATAAGCATCACGTTATAAATCAATTAATAAGATACGGGGATGTATTTTCCAATGTAATGCCTGCTAAAATGTACTTTGTTCAAGAAGTAAAAGCTTACTCCAATCGAAGTACCACAAATGATCTTTAGTGTTTGTCACGAAAAGGTCATTTTAGGATTCCGGATGTCCATTTAAAAAACATCGAGGACTCTAATGCCCTCCAGCGCTTGTTTTGTTTACAGTCCAAGTAAATCAGTCGCCCGAAGTGCATCATGGGAGTTAATGGCCTCGTTTTGAGTAACGTCTCGTCTTCGTCATATTTAGTGAAAACTGATCGCCAGTGTATCATATTTAAGTTTTAAATAATGTTATACAATGGTTAGTTTAGGTAAGAGAAGCCACAGTGTCTGGTAAGTTCATGGTACCAACGTCTTAGCATGTAAGAACGCGAATTGATGCGGTCTGGAATTGGTCTCCAGCAACCAATGCTCGTATTAAGACCTGACTAACGGGATCGCTGGCCTGAATTTCTGTTTTAGTTGATGCAGAACGGTGTAAGCACTACACCAAGGATTGCATCCCTCTCAAAGTTCAAATACTGATTTTCTGCAAATATATTTCAACAAGGATACTGAAATCCTTGAATTTTTAAGCTATATGAAAATACAAGGTTTGGTTGTCGAATGAGTGAAACTATAAACTATTAACTGCTTTCGACATATTCTAACACTTTGAGACCGGCAGATGTAACAATAATAAAACCGCATGTATCGAAAATGGATACGAATCTTTATCTATTTGTGATATATTTTACTCATTTCTAGTATATTTGCGTTTGCTGACCATTTCTTTGTGTTCCAAGCAAACACTGATCATGAAACTGTAATGAAGAAATTATCACAATTCTTTTATCAAGCCGTTTTGTCAAGGCAAATATTTCTATAACGCCATATTGCAAGATGATGTTTTTAATAATGGGTCTATGACCTTATTACGTGAAGAAGAACTATCGTTTCTCTTAGATGTGTCATTATATAATTGCCCTCAAAGAAGTAATAATTATTGGTTATCTTTATGAAAATATAATTTCTTATATTTTTCGAAACAGAAATATAAAGTTCGAATATAGTTAACATTAAATGCTTTTGTGTGAATAAATTAACTTACAACAGGTTTTTCTTCATGGAATCAATCGAACACTGTGAGAAAACGAATCCGTTTTTGACAAGTGGTGACAAAGGCGACATGATGTATCCATCCGCGGCGGAACACGCCCTGCCACGGTACATCCCGTCATGGTCACTACCAAGCCTGCGAGAGAAAATAGTGCAATTAATCTCAGTCACTATATTGGCATATGCATTACATCTCCATAATATGAAACCATATACAAGTATACAAGTGTTGAAGTAAATCTCAATTTACAGCTTCAGTGGTGCTTAATATCATGTCATGAGCAAATCGGATAATGCCATGGAAGGGTGTTCGACATCAGATGCATCGTTAATAGTGTTAAGACGTTAATAGTGTTGATTAATGGTACAAATGAACCCACATCAGTAGTTTATGCTCGTATATGTTCCAATATTAGTTATTTGTGTATATTTACTGTGCCCACACGCCTACAATACAGGAAACTCATTTGTGGTGTGCCCGGAGTGATATTGTGGAAATGTAGTTAAAGAACAGTAAAACCATATTCTGTCACACATATTCAGATGAAGGATTATGCTTCATATTTTGCATTTCATATGAACTATACCACTGTGAGTTAATACCATTTTGGGTTTGTTGGTTTGTTGTTTAATCTCGTACTCAGCAGTATGTCTATAAATAATCGAGTCTGGACCAAACAATCCATCGTTCTACGCAATTGTGACACGATGACATGTGTCAACCAAGCCAGCGAGCCTGACCATTTTGGGAGTGGGTACGGTGTCTTAGGCACTGTGGAACCCTGCGATTCATGGACCCTCCAGTCCCAAAATCGAGTTGGTGTGTTTAACCAAAATGGAACACTTCAACTAACTTACGAGTCATTAAGCGGGCATGTTTTACGCCGTGTTTAGCAGGAAACAAGAAATGGGCTTCAGTCTTAATGTTACCATAGAGAGAATCGAACTAGCGTAAGGTGACACCACTCGGCCAATATAAAATATCAAACCGGTCTTATTTCGATATTTCTCTACGGTAAGCTGTCATGCTGACATAATATCACTGAAATATGATGATATTTCTCCGACATAGATTCTAATGCCGTTGTCAAGCAAGTGATATCACTGTTTAAAACAGCATAGAACCCACTCACTAACTCACTGTCTTTTCTGGATCACTTGACACCCGACTTTACTCACACGTGCGCCAGTTCGTGAGCCACTGTTCCAACACAACTGAAAGCCCCTTGGTCTTCTACCAGCGAGGAGGACTTGCCATCGTAGAGCGAGCATATTTTGTCCGTGAAGGATACACCTCGGTTACGAAAAAGAAACAAGACAATTAAGATGTACGGTGAAAAGGCGTCAAAGTCTGTGCAGAGTTGCTTCCCTTACTGGCCTTTACCGTGCCGTAATCCTATGACCGTGGGTTGAAATCCTCAACTCACGCTGATTATGTTAGTCTGGCCACAGCCGTGGACGAGGTTCACAAACATCTGGAAACTCCATCGGCTCCACCTCTGCATCTACGTTAAACTGAACTTCTATACACTGTATTAAACCCGTGAAGATCCGGGTTAGAATTTATCATCAGTAACCCATGCTTGTCGTAAGAGGCGACTAACGGGATCGGGTGGTCGGACTTGGTTGGCACATGTCATCGGTTCCCAACTGCGCAGATCGATCGCGATGCTCATGATGCAGATCACTGGATTGTCTGGTCCCGAATCGATTATTTGCAGACCGCCACCATATTGGTGGAATATTGCTGTGCGGCGTAAAACCAAACTCACTCACTCACTCTTAGATGCATAACGACGAAATCTATGCCTTGAAAAGAGTTCTGGTTATGCATATGTATTCATAACAAATATTATTTATGTAATGTTTATGACAAATTTACGCAAATCAATAAAATAATACAGCTACACATGCTTAACAAGCTTACAAAATAGGAACAGGTTTACGAGTGTTCTGAGGATAAATTTAATCATCATCTTCCGAACGTTATTGCTTAAAGTTATCTTTTGACATGTCAACGTGAAAATTAGGATACAATCAAAACGTCCTCTTCACCATTTCACACCAAACTGTTCACGAGAGATGAGGAAAACACGGTTATAGATGGTAAACTGCCAATTACGTGTTTCATTGTTGCGATTTAACTGTTTCTCAGTTGCTTCAATTTGTGTGGAAAAAAATCACTTACCTATCGGCGTTCCGTTTGGGTCGACAAGGTCCAGTCTGAAGTTTAAACGAAAGTTTTGAGTTACAAACACCGTTTTGTTGAACATTAATGTGTCGAACTTAGGTTTTCTCGAAGTGAAAGCTAGGTCCCGTCTTAGGCTTTGTCTATTTATTATTTGTGCCGAACGTCAGATAACTCGAAATATCTACTTAGGTCCCTTCAACTTTACGCAATGGTGTTTGCCTGTATTCAGGTGAGTGAGTTTTAGTTTTACGCCGCTTTTAGCAATATTCCAGCAATATCACAGCGGGAGACTCCAGAAATGGGTTTCACATATTGTACTCATGTGGGGAATGAACCTAGGTCTTCGGTGTGAGGAGCGAACGCCTTAACCACTTGGCTACCTATCGCCTGTATCTAGGTGATACTATTAGTTTTTCATGTTTCAATTTCAGCTTAGTTTGGGAGGACGATTGCAGGCAACATTGAACGACTGACTGACTGACTGAGTTTGGTTTTACGCCGCTTTTAGCAATATTCCAGCAACATCACGGCGGGGGACACCAGAAATGGGCTTCACACATTGTACCCATGTGGGGATTCGAACCCGGGTCTTCGGCGTGACGAGCCAACGCTTTGACCACTAGGCTACCCCGCCGCCCCAACATTGAACGACTTCGAGGTGACGTGTACAATGTAGGCACTCAAGGCTATATCAGGAACAACAGGACAAGAGTGTTTTATCTTGTCCCTGCCGTTTCTACAATCAAGATAAATCTTTTCTCAAATTCGGGATAAAAGAATGGCTGGTTTTAGGTGTGCATCTTTACTCGTCTACAGAATTACCCTCAACTGGTAATATTGCGGATATTGCACTCACTCACTCACTCACTCAACAAATACCTGGTCAAAGCAGTGGCCTGATCAAACCGGAAGTGAATTCTGGCCTCCTTGTAGGCTTCACTGAGTTGGACGGCGAAGTCGTCAAGCGCGATGTGGTTGTTGACGGTGTCGTTGATGCGGTGATTCTCGGTGAAGCGGGAACACTCCGGAGTCTGGAGATGAACTAAATCGTTAATCATTTCGTTATTCAGCTCTTGTCTCACAGACATGCCATTTGTATCAAAGAAGAAAGGTAATCACGATGTTCTTTTCCCAAGTTTACCAAATTCATTCATCTACCAACACTCAATATTTAAGGAAAATATAATACAGTATATGTGTATGAGTTCCGCGCTTCTCTGAGTCCAACATTGACACTGTGTTTGTTCGTTTGTTGTATAACGCCGTACTCAGCAGTGTTCCAGCTAAACGACGGTGATCGGTAAATGATCGAATCTGGACCAAATGATCCAGTGATTGACATCATGAGCGTCAAGCATCATGACACTGTGTAACGTATATTTACCAGATTCGTAAACTGATGAAGACATTGATTTTTAGCATAGTCGTTGTAAATGAGGATGCTGGGAAATGTATGTTCAGCAATAACTGATTGAATGATTGTCATCAATACAGTATATCATCGAACTACACTAAAATTATTTTTAAAAAAAGCATTAATACCTTGTGGTTCAAGTTTCTTTGTATATATATTCTATTATAATTTGCATAATTTATATATGTAATCAATGCACATAGTTCTAAATATGTCAATGAATATGTTAAGGCCAAAATAGCGACACCCCTTAGATAAAAAGCTACGAAAATCATGTTAGTTAGTAGTTGGCATTTTTTTTTTTTAACCTGTTAGTCCGTGAACATATTTACGTTTAATATTCCTATATAGATGTATCGTGTATGTTATTAACAAGTCTCCAAGACTGTAAGTGATGGAACCCGTCAACATTTGAAGAATGTACGTAAAATGAATACGTCAGGTTTGGCGCTACGTGACGTAAATACGTCAACCTTAAAACGCGTACGCGAGGTAAATTCGTCAACCTTGAAGCCTGTACGCTTAAGCCTATACGCTACGTAAATACCTCAACCTTGAAGCCTTGGACCCAGATTTTCGAAGCTCTCCTAGTGTTAAGATGGTCGTAAGTGCCATACATTAACATTAACTTACGAAAATCTAGTCTCTGTACGCTACGTAACTACGTCAACCTTGAAGCCCTGTACACTACGTAAAAACGTCAACCTTGAAGCCCTGTACACTACGTAAAAACGTCAACCTTGAAGCCTTGTACGCTGAAGCCTGTACGCTACGTAAATACGTCAATCTTGAAGCCCTGTACGCTACGTTAATACGTCAGTATTTAGGCCTATTCGTATCGTAAATACGTCAACCTTGAAGCCTATACGTGACCTAAATTCGTCAATTTTAAAGTGTGACGCAAGTATCTATCAGACGTACATGATGTAAGTACGTCCATCCTAAATCGTGTATGTGATGTACATACGTCAACCTTGAAGCATGTACACTTCGAAAATACGTCAATCTTGAAATCTATACATAACGTAAATACGTCAACCTGAAAACCTATACGTAGCGTAAATACATTGAAGCCTTTACGTGACGTAAGACCGCCAACCTTAAAAAACGTACGTAACGGAAATACGTCAGCCTTGATGTCTATACGTGACATCAACAAAGCCGTCAGTCAGGTCGTTGACCTTCAGTCCTGTTAGTACATTAACCCATTAATTCCAGGTGAGATTTCCAGCTCTCCGGTGACATATTGTACAGTGTTACAGTGTAATACAACCTGGCTGCTATGGTAAATACAACAACTTACAGTGCACACAACAGTTCCAGCCAGGGTAAGGGAGATGTTGAGAGTAGGGTCTCGTATACCATCCTTGTATATCCTGTCTGCCTAGGAAAAACAGAGTTACCAGTTACAGGAAATATAAGATACTGATGGAAATAAATAAGGGAACACATGAAAGTACAAGTTTTCCTGTTTATTATATATTCCCAGATTTTCAACCACAGTACAATTCAAAGCTTGCAAAGAAACATGGAAATGAATACAGGAACAGCTATACTTTCATGCGTTCCCTAATTTGTTTTCATCAGTATATAACGTCAATGCCAAGCAATCAAGACGTGAGGATGGTTTTACGCCGCATTAAGCCATATTCCAGTATTTGGGATCACCATCAATTTCAGGGCAGTGGACACAAGGAATGAGAAATCACTATTGTACTGATGTGAGGAATCGAGGCTACCAAACATGTGCTTCACCTATTGTACCAGTTGAAGAATCAAGACCGGATCATTGGCGTGACGAGCCAACGCTTAAAGCACTAGGCTGCATCAGCGCCCTCAAAGCCAAAAACTAACCAATCTCTGTAATCTGTCGAAACAGACACTAATGTATGTCAAAGGCAGAACAAGTGTAATATACAAAGGGATCTCTGAAAGTCAGTGATGTCACCAGGTGAAACCATGGCCTAAAACTCAATGTCGATGTATACTCTGAGATACCCTTCGGGTGAGTTGGGTTGTTTGTTGTTTAACGCCGGCTTCAGCAATACCTCAGCTATGTGACAGTCTGTCATTAATCGAGGCTGCACCAGACAATCCGATGCCTGCATTGCTCTTCGCAATTTGGGACATGATGATATTCATCAATCAAGACAACGAACTTGACCACCCGATCCCCTAACGAAGACCAATTGGACCAATGGATGCAAGTATGAAGAAGATTATCTTGAACATTGATCCAAGCTTACTAGACTAAGTGTCTCTCATCAAGAAATAGTCAAACTCCGATGTGTCGAAGTTGAAGGAATTGCGTGAAATACTTCGAGTAATCCGAAGTTCGATACAGCCGAAAAAATGAAGCGTATGGAAAACATTACTTTTACTTCGAGACAGTCATAGGTTCAACACATGTTCGACACAGTGGTGCTGACCGCCTCCGTGGTGTAGTGGTTAGAGCGTCCGCCCGAAGAACGGAAAGTCGCGGGTTTAATACCCGGCCACGGGGAACCAAAAGACGTTAAAATATGGTACTTGTTGGTCCCTGCCTGGCGCTCGGCATTAATGGGAACAACAAGGACTGGTCGGCTCGGAGTCAGTATAATGTGTCTGAGTGTGGTATCCATGCTTAAATGTATGGTATCTCAGTGAGCTAGCACTATAAAACCAGCTTAAGTCTGGGGTAGTACAATCAGCCACACATACACACGCATGCACGTCGTCATATGAGCGAAGTATTCTTAAGTACGACGTTAAACCCAATTCCACCCCACCTCACCTCGCAGCGGTGCCATTAACTGTACGTATACTCCTAAATTCTACCAGTTTTAGGCAAACGTATGATTTCGTTAACTGCAGGAAAGTGAAAATAACCTCTGGTTTCCTTTCTACCATACATCAAAAGCCATTTCAACATATTAACCCCACCGTAAAATATTTCATTTCACAGAGTCAAAGCTATAAGGTAAAGGTTACTATCTAACATGGGTTTCTGGTCAACTGCTGCAGGGAAACGTGAGTGTGAAAGCGTCCCAATATCTGTTCTTGAATGGAGTTTCGAATACGACAATGCAGGAAATCCAGACACAATTTACACAAGGGCGGGAACACCATGTAAACATGTTATACGATGATTAAAAAGGTCGTTAACATTCTCCCATTTTCATTAGCGAGTAATGCGATATGAGCGAATCAGGAAAGGTCTTACTGCGTTCAGGAGCACAGCGACGTACCACGTGATCTCCATGTCTATGTTGCCATAACTACCGACTTGTTTGAGGAACGATTGGTACATGGAGTAGTCTGTCCACACGAGAACCTCCACTGTGCCTGACACCGAGCCCGTGGGTGAGGCAGTGGTTGTGTGCGTGTCCCGGGGGCCATGGTGGGAGGGTGGTATCTTGAACAGAAACCACAATTCCACTGTAAAATATTCATCACTTCCTGTCCAAATGGTATTGTAAAAATGTATCATGGAAAATGGTTGCTTAAAATGTAAAAAGTTATACAGTTTGAAATAAATAAATAAATGGTTTGATGGATGGGTGGATGGATGGATGACTGTATGGACGGATGGATGGATGAACGAATGAATGAATGAATGAATGACTGATATAATATGAATGAATGAATTGTTGACAAATATACTGAACATAACTGTGGCGCAAACATAAGACTATGTATGAATATCATGAGTGAGTGAGTGAGTTTAGTTTTACGCCGCATTCAGCAATAGTCCAGCTATAGGGCGGCTGTCAGTACATCATCGAGTCTGGATACGATGACATTTGTTAACCAAGTCAGCGAGTCCTGACCACCCATTCCCGTTAGTCACCTCTTACGACAAGCATGGGTTACTGAAGGCAAATTCAAACCCGGATCTTAACGGGTCTGTATCAGTAGAATATCGAAACAGCGATTCCATTATATAAATTACTCATAATATATATCATATATATTATTATTTCATGGCGGTTGACAAATACCTTTTCTGCTCATCCAGCTGCGTGATAAGAATTGGCATTTTCACGATTGACCTTCGAAGACGCTCAACAATTTTATCAAAAAGTAATCAAAACTTAAATGACATATATATGATATTGAGTGATAGCTGACATCTTTATTAGATATTTTCCCTAGTAGCGTTTCCACTCTACATAGCCCGATCATCGGGCTTCAGATTATTCATTTACTTTGAGAGAGATGATGTCGTATATAACCCACTCAAAACACGAGTGTATATGGTCACTCGGCATCAGTAGGGAATCTGTTCCCTCGATTGATTAATCTAACAGCCGGTTATGGGACAAAATGCAATAACAGTAACGGCTGGATAGGGGAAATAACTCCGTTGAGAATTAGTTTACTCCATCCACCATCCCCATATTCCATATTTTGGGGATAATCATGATGAAATGGACGATATAATGTGCAGTAAACTACGGTTGTAACGAACTTAAGGGACCACAAATGTTAATTCGTTATAACCAATGTTCGACGAATCGTTATACGCATTTCGAATGAAATATATAACATTGGCCTTGACCTAAAACGTGCGTCGATATATCCGTCAGTTCGTTATAAGGTGTTCGCTATTATAATAGTGAGTGAGTGAGTGAGTTTAGTTTTACGCTGCACTCATAGCTATATGGCGGCAGTCTGTAAATAATCGAGTCTGGACCAGACAATACAGTGATCAACAGCATGAGCATCAATCTACGCAACTGGGAACCGATGACATGTGTCAACTAAGTCAGCGAGTCTGATCACCCAACCTGTTAGTCGCCTCTTACGACAAGCATGGGTTGCTGAAGATCAATTGTAACCCGGGCCTTCACGGGTCGTGTTCGTTATAAAAGTTGTTTATTGTATTGTATTGAACTTTGTCTCTCCGGTGAACTCCACGAACAAATGTGCAAGGACATAGAGAAGGGACTAGCATTAGGAGCGGGGACGGTGTCAGGGGTGGGGGTTTGGAGGGGTGTCGGCAGTGTATAAAATATGGCCCCCGACCGCCCGAGACGGGCTAGATTTCTGATGGACGGTCTAAATTTACAGCTTGCCAGCCCGATGGTCTGGTTCCATACACCTGAGTAAATTCACTTTATCTTGGTGTTTGGTCTGGTTAAATCCATTTTGGGCTGGTAACAGTCTGGTTGGTTTTGGGGCTTATTTCATACACTGGTGGTGTCGGTATTGTCGGTTCATAATTAGTACATAAAAAACTGACACCCAGCAATGGGTAATAAATGGCCGACCCCCGAGATGTCAAGATGGAAAATTGTTCATAAAATAGAAAGGTTAGAGGGTATCTGCCAATCCAAATATTGCACTGCATTTGCAACTGGTTCAACCAATGAGAAATCTGTTTGTAATATTCAATTAGGCAGTTTCCTAACGGAAGTGTCCAGACATGACTAGACGTGTTGCGAAACTGTGTAATTGTTACTAAATATAGATATGATGAAACTGTAAAAAGCATAAATGTGAAATAAAATACTCTCGTGGGTAGTATTACTGACAGTTCCCGCGACCTGTCTATTTACAGAGCAAATTTTCTTATGTGTAATTTTACATTAATTCATATACTCCTCGAAAACAGTATTTTCGTTTGTATGTTGTTGTTTTGGTTTTTTGTTTTGGTTTATGCCGCAGTTAGCCATATTCCAGCTTTATGAAGGTGGTCTGTAGATAATCGAGTTTCCATAAGAAATCCAGGTGGGATACGATGACATGTGTCAACTGAGTCAGCGAGCCTAACCATCTGATTCCGTTAGTCGCCTCTTACGAGAAACATGGGTCGCTGAAGACCGATTCTAACCTGAAGCGTCACGGATTTTACCTACGTCGAGCTTATGAACAAGAATAGGGTTTATCAAAAGCATTCGCGTCACACACACGCACACACGCACACACGCTTATGATCATATCCTGAAGATGAGGAGATCTGACGTCATATTTAGAAAGACGTTGTTTGAAAAGAGAACAGTCCGCCCTGACGTCACCAAACGTCCATATTTTACCCATGAGGTTTGAAACTAGCATCCTGATAACTAGCCATAATTTAATGACTCTCACGGTTTATCACCTAAGGTTTATGTCCACGAAGTGATTGGAGCAATCACTCGTGAAATGGTCGTTGCAGCATATGTGCAGATTACTCAAATTAGAGTAATCGTCTCTTAGATACATTAGGGGTGATGACTCGGATATAATATTATATAGTAATTTACATATACACTGTTGAAAACATAACAAGCGACTGGACACAATTCGACGTCCTTGTATGCGGCTGTACCGATACGTTAAGTCAGCCCCTTTGTCTCGAATTTACTCATATCTCCAACATATTATCCGGTTCTGACCCCAATCTCTAACTCCACTACAAGGTGGCATTTGCCATATTAATAATTTTGAGAACCGAAAATAGATTCAAATGTATATAGATTTCACTCGATGTTGGAGCTTTCAGTTGCTGAACTATGAGTACCGATATATGATGAAATCGCCCGTATTAGATGTATATCCTCGATGTATTTGTGTTCTTTAGGCGGGTTTCCGGGTTTAAAGGGTTCGCTTTTTACCAAAATATTTAATCTTAACAGATTCTTAGTAACTATTATTCACTTGCTTAACAGACTATATATCTATAGAAGTATAAAATATACATTCAAAATATAACATTAATAATGATTCATAAACACAAGCTTATGATGCTAATCGTTGAGTTTCATCTGGAGGTGACACACAAGAGAGAGGGTAGCCTAGTGGTTAAAGCGTTCGCTTGGCACGTCGATAGTCCGGGTTCGATACATGGGTTCAATGTGTGAAACCCATTTCTGGTGTTCTCCGCCGTGATATTGCTGGAATATTGCTAAAACGGTGTAAAACCCATCTCACTCACTCACATAAGGGAGGGGAACAATGAGGGGAAGAAACCATCATATTCTCCGGAATTCCCTTATATCTGTGATACATACGGAGGCGTATAATAGCTCTGGTTGTCGTACAGATATATCGTTTTCAGCTATACGAACTTACTGATATATTCTCCCCGACCGCCTCATACCAAAAGACGTTAATATGGTACTTGTTGGTCCCTGCCTGGCGCTCGGCATTAATGGGTACAACAAGGACTGGTCGGCTCGGAGTCAGTATAATGTGTCTGAGTGGGGTATTCATGCTTCACTGCGGCATGGTATCTCAGTGGGCTAGCACTATAAAACCAGCTTTATTTAGTCTGGGCTAGTACAAGCAGCCGCACATACACATACACACGCATGCACGTCGTCATATGAGCGAAATATTATCAAGTACGACGTTAAACCCAATTTCACCTCACCTCACCTCACTGATATATTCATAGCTTTGCATATTCAACAACGGTCAGGAAAGTGAGTTGTGGAGATGAACTTGAGGGGCGGGTAACCGATATTTTACAGGCGCATCAAACACTTACAGTATGTGAAGTCTTGTCAGCGATTCTCTTCAAGATTCTGTGCCGAGATGTGACGCCGCCATCCTGCGCCCATCTGGAACCTGGAGTCCGTACAGGACTGACAACCACGTCGTAGTCAGTACCAGGCACGATGCCGTCCTTAAAAATATACATTACCACCAACAATCTACTTGTGACAGGGATAGTTTTAACTTTCCACAATACACAAAACGAAGCTTTAGAGATATAAATGTACAATCGACTCAGCTCTTGGCAGAGATTTCTTAAGAATAAGAGAAGGTGTTCGTGTCATGTAATAGAATAGTGAGTTAGTGAGTTAATATTTAACGATATATCGGTAATATCTCAGCCATATCGTGACGAAAACAATTTATGCAATAAAAATGAAAACATTTTGAAGAGTAAAACCTGTCGACAATGGACAGTAAAATACTAGAGTATCATAGATATGAATATAAAACCAGCATGTTTAACTAAAACATTTTAATTAAAGAAGACAATACAATATAGAATAGATCGCCAACACGGGCTATACGAGGGTTTACACATCTTTGATTAACATTGTCATAAATGACTTAACTGTATATAGTATCGTTCCGTTTGTTTTTATATTTTAAAGTGACCTATTATGTACAAATGACCACATATTTCCACCTCACCACGCTTTGGTCGTCTATGACAATACTGATTAATTAATCTTTACATCCTGTCTTACCAGAGATATGAGTTGGGTTCCATTAGCAGACACGTGGAACTGAACTGCAAAAGCGCCGAGGGTGTTTTGATCATGGTAGAAGTGAATGTTGTGCTACAGAAAACAGGAGTGAGTCAGTGAGTGAGTTTAGTTTTACGCCACTTTTTAGCAATATTCCAACAATATCAAGGCGGTGGTCACCAGAAATGGGTTTCACACATTGTACCCATTTGGGGAGTCGAACCCGGGTCTTCGGCGTGACAAGCGAACGCTTTAACCCTTGGCTACCCCGCCGCCCCTACAGATAACATGAAGAAAACTTGAAAGCGTTTCTTGTCTCTGGTTGTTTAATATTAGCACAGTTAGCAGTAAACGTTGTCTGTACATGCCAAGCCCTAGCACTGGGGCACCTGTTGCTACTAATTCTGCATTTTGCCGTGAAGAACTTGCCCAGTGCTTCCATCTATTGGCCAACATCAACATATACACCAGCACAGCCGCTGCGAAAGAACTTAGGAATCAATATAACTTTTTATACAAATGCGAATATTATGCTTTTCAGAGTTGTCATTTTAATTGCCTCACGGATGAAAGATGGCCAGAACGGTTAACAACGTAATGGTTTTTGGCAGCATGTTGTTCAATGCTGTCATAACAAATTTGCCATCGGACATGGACTCAATGTTTGGAAGATTCTGAATTAGTGTTGTTGACCACTCAGCCAGACACACACACACACAAGCACACGCTCTTGCACACACACAAGCACACGCTCTTGCGCACACATACGCGCACGCTCTTGCAGGAGTATGTTTCTGAGAAACATTCCTACATGCCTGCATGCCGGTGAATTTTGTACACGTATATACTTTAAATGTATTCGTCACAATTGTATCACTATATTTGTGAGTAACTTGTTCATACTAATTCTTACCACCTTAAACATTGACTATACTCTTCATTATCAATATATTATACCCGTGAAGATCTGTGTTAGAATTGATCGTCAGTAAACCATGCTTGCAAGAGGCGACTAACGGGATCGGGTGGTCAGGCTCGCTGACGTAGATGGCACATGTTATCGAATCCCAACTGCGTAGATGATCATGATGTTGATAGCTGTTGATCACTGGAAAATCTGGTCAAGGCTCGATTATTTACAGACCGCCGCCATATAGCTGGAATATTGCTGAGTGCGCCGTAAAACCAAAACCAAACCAAACTAAAAACACTATCAATATGTAAATGCTCATTAACCACGACTTCTATTTCTACTGTCACATTCCCCGCCATGATATCACTTGCAAATTACTCAATGCGGGGTAAAACAAAAAAAGGCCAACTCTATGTATTTTTACATCTATATGTGTAATCTACATCTACAACCAAACACTACGTCAACAACCACCACTTCTCGTCACCAGCGTTGACTGAATTAGAACAACGGAACTCTCTTTATTCTAACCTCTTGAAATTTCAGCATCTTGACCTTCTTCCTCTCTTTTCCCCAGATCATGACTGGTATCCCATAATCACCGTAGGCGGAAGAAAGAGGCTGGCTTGGGACAAGGTGAAGGTTGAAGACCTTACCAAGGGCAGAGAACTCTATCTGTAGGTTGCCTCGGTCATTCAGCGAGCAGGTGTTTGAAGACAGGCTACAGACAAGCACCTCTTCACTGTCGGCTTGGACTGAAGGGAAGAGGGAGGAGTTATGCATACTGAACATGAAATCACTTCAGATTAACACACTCGCTAGGTCCTTGAATGGACGATAATTTAAGAAAGACAGTTCGCTCTACCCCCATATATAGTGTTATAAAGTACAGTTTTTCCCTGAACTATTAACAGTTAAAGCACGGAGATGCTTGCGTTATGATGGTTCAGGGCAATTAATACATTCCTGCTGACGATTAATCTAGGCAGAAAAAACGCAGAAAATTGACGGTGTCACTGACCCAAATTTACAATCCTCGTTCAGGTCTAACTGACGTGCTGTTCTTTTGACGTGTCTGCCCCCCTAAGTTAAGACGCATGTTACCATGAATACAAATGATAAACAGTTTGAAGACGGTTTACGTTCGGACTAAATATCTTCTCTATTTTATTTTAATTACATCTGTGATCATCGTAAACCATATAGGGTAATATGAATGTCACACTTCTACTACCAACGTAGTATATCAAGATGAAGCTGACTAGTCACGCGACATTCCACCGAAACATTGATGGACTGTGGACATAGACTGAGTTAGCGAACGTTGTCGTGTCGCTGTTGTGTTGTGGGACAAAACGAAACAGTTTCTTCCGTCGAAAAGGGTTAAACGTAATGTTTCCACCTGTGATGTTAGCCGAGTGAAGCAACTGCAAACCAAGAAACGGGGTGCTACGAAGGTATTGTACTGCAGGGCCTAGATTTTCGAAGCTCTCTTAGCGCTAAGACAGTCGTAAGTTAATGTTAATGTATGGCACTTACGACCATCTTAACACTAGGAGGGCTTCGAAATCTACGTCAACGCTAGAACACTGTACATGCATTGTGACGTCAGTTACCAAGGTTACGTTTAAATGGCGTAGTGACGCCAATGCAGTACGAAGCAGAAAGTTTTCTTTATCGTCTGATAAAATACTGTCGGTGCTTTTGGTTCTTTAGCGAAGCATCTTGGAAGGTCAGGTGGATGTGATGTCGTCAATGAACATAATTTGCAGGTGCACGGTTTTGTCGCGACGGGAGTGGCTCCGTCACATACACATAGGATGTCTGGCCGCCAGAATGTACCCTAGATATGAACTCCCTGTCAGATATATTGGGACACATGTACTCTTGTGCAGACAGTGATGGACTTATTTATATACATGTATATGTTTTGCTATGTTGTTTAACCCCGCTGTCAGCAATATTGCAGCTATTGCATGATGACGGCCTCACAATCAACAAGTCTCGTCTAGACTCAGTGATTGCTATTGTAAGAATCGTTCGCTATTCGAGGACCCTGTATCAATCAATTCAATAAGTCTGACCACCCAATCCATGTGTTGCTTATAGGTTGCTAGGGACTTCGTATACCCGGAATATAGCCCCAGTCGGTATATTCAACTGAGCTCAGAGTGAAGAATAATATAACTACAGTGAACAGTTGGTCTAAATGGTTACTCGGGTTAATGGAAAATGTGTAAGTATTTTTTACGCCGCTTTTAATAATATACCAATAAAATCCCCTCAGCGAAAAACAGAAATGGGCTTCACACATTATAACCAATAATGAATCGAACACGGGTCTTCGGCGTGACAAGCGAACGCTTTAACTACTCCACCGCCCCTTGTAACAACTGAGTTTAATATTCACCCATTGTCATTTTTTTATTGACCGTGGGCGAAAATAGGCCTCAGGACGAATGGGTGAACAATCTAACCCCTACGGTCAAGTCTACTGCCATGAGAATGGACACAGGCTACAACCTGCAGATATATACCATTGCGAGTATAAAATATTTATACTCCACGCTAACCGTTATACATATTATGACTGCTCGTTACATTAATATTCCGGGCACTATGACAAAGTGAGCCTATGGATTATTTTCTCGTAACAAACTTTCCACACACATTCCTTTTCTATGTGTATGATTTAATTTAGCATTAATGTAACCTTTTCTTACCAAAGTTCCTCAGTTGCCTAGCTGACAAAACAACGCCTATAAACACCGTTGTAATGCCTTTCACAAATGACAAGTCTTAACCTGTGTAGAAAAAGTTGTTTGCGCATCACAAACAATCATAAACATTGGGATGATCGCTTACCGTGATGCTCAGTGACGTCATCAGGTGGAGGGGGAAGGGCAGTGGATATCCCTATTGTCTGAAAAAATGCAATTAATAATGTTCCAGGTACAGGGGGTAGTTTGTTGTTTGACGCCGCAATATCCTGTATGACGGCGGTGTCATAACCTGACACCTGACATGTTATTTATTGTGATATCGTAATTACTGATTTGAGTATTTTTATAAAAATCCATGAGCATTGCTTTTCAGTAATATTTCAAATTTACCATCAGTACCTCATTAGTCGACCTTGCTTACTCACTCACTCACCCACTCGTTCAGTCGCCCACACACCCACCCACTCACTCACTCAAGCATCCACTCACTCACTCAAGCACCCACCCATAGACCCACTCACTCACTAGCCAAGGAAAGTGAATAATTTCAATTTGACTCGGCTGTCACCTTTGGTTCGAAAAGGATTAACGTTGTTTCTTTTCATTAGAATGGTGAAAACTCCTTGACCCTATTCTGTACCAGGCATATGCGGTTGAACACACCTCTGTGACCACAGCGTTTGAGACTGCATCTCACGACGATACATACAGCCGTAGTACGAACGAATCATAGTCATAATCACCTCACGAACCTATAAGCAATAACATGTACATATTCTTACCTTCAGTAAAATTAGTATGGTAAATATTTCTCGCATGTTTATCAATGAATGAGTGAGACATTATCTCGGGTCAATCTTTATCTTAGACAGAACAAAAATTGCTGTCCAAGATAGTGTACGACCTTGATCATACCATATCCGAAAAACGTTTCAGCATTCTTTAAAATGTGTTCACTTCAGAAGTGTTCTATCCCGTAATTAGACTAACAACTAGTCTCTGAAATGAACATATTTTACAGAAAAAACAGTTCATAATAATGAAAATAAAATATAATGAAAAGGAGCCCCGAGACTTTCTTCATTTTCAGACTTGCCACGTATTCTAGACTTGCATAGGCTTTCTTGGATATATTTGTTTCAGGGTCTGTATGACAGACTATCCCGTAATCTAGGACTTGTGTATCTTGAATTGTTTCAAAATTAGATTTTTTAAAATAGTAAACTATTTTAGAAGCTATTCATGTATTCCTTGTTCGCATCACAAAGCAGGGTGTGCCTCCATGAATGCCGTGTTAACAAACATATATATATATATACGTTTCTGCACATTGTGTGAGTGGTGGGCGTACCTGAAGAGCAGGAGTTGCTTACTCCTCTCGAGAAAACCTGTTGTCAATGGTTTTCAGTGAGATGCAGCATCCACAACCCAATCCCACCAATGTTAAATGGATTAGAGTGCGTGGTTTTTATTCGTGAATGAATCATTTGTATGTCTACTGACACTTAAGGGACAATAGGCAAAGCGCGTATCTATCTAAGTCCAGATGTACCGCGGTGATCAAATTAAATACCGAGGTATAGCTGGACTTAGATGGGTATGCGCTTTGCATTATATTACAGTGAGTGAGACTCTAGTTTAGTTTTACGCCGCGTTTAGCAATATTCCAGCAATATCACGGCGGGTGACATCAGAAATGGGCTCATACATTGAGGAATCGAACCCGGGACTGCGTCATGATGAGCGAACGATTTAACAACTAGGCTACCCCACCGCCCCTTTACGTTGGAGCTGCAGCAGAACAGCCTGTTGTACTTTTGTCTCTGGTGATCGTTTATCTGGAGTAGGTGCGTGGTCTGTTCCCTGTATATGTGAAGCTCACTTCTCATAGATAGTATTGGAATATTGCTAAACGTGGCCTGTAATAACATTCGCTCACTTATATGCTACAAGAACATCGTTACTCGCCCAAAATCAGAGAAGCAGTCGTAAAATCATATTTGTTAAGTGTTCAATAGACACGTAAAATGTTTGATCTCGTTATGAATTGTTGCTAAGAGTAAACACTTTAACACTATGGCGGTAACGAGTGTTATATGTACCATTAAATGTCACAGCTGTTATGGGAGAACAGCAATGAAGTGGTGTGATCTTGGGGTGAAATCCATGGCTCGTCACACCCACCTACAACGACGTCTATCGTAAATGGCTGGATAAGCATTGATAGGGAAAAACCGACACAAGATCACTCACTCACTCACTCACTTTTAGTAGATAATCAGATCCGTGTTAGAATTGGCCTTCAGCACCCTATGCGTTTCGTGAGAGGCGACTAACGGGATCGGGTGGTCAGGATCGCTGACTTGGTTGACACATGTCATCGTATCCCAACTGCGTAGATCCATGATCATGATGTTGATCACTGGATTGTCTGGTCCAGACATGATTATTTACAAACCGTCGCTATATAGCTGGCATATTGCTGAGTGTTGCGTTCAACAACAAACAAAAAGAAAACAGATATTAATATGAGCTGCATAACAATAACACATCAATAATTGTGTACAAAGTAAACACGTCAACACAAGAGGATACCTCGAACACCTGACTACACAGACTCCATAGGGCGTCAACGGCAAATCGCGATGAATATTATGTAAATTTTGCAAATTTGTCATGTCCGATTTAATGTATGTGTGTTATGGTGATATATTTATGTAAACAGCCAGGCAGAATACACCCATGTTTGACAAGAAATAAACAAAAGACAGCTGTTCAATGTATGCACAACGAACTTATTTAAGACACCCTGTATTTTTGCGTTCATAAAATTTCTCGTGGTGACCACAATGAAAAAACCCATGAGTTTTTCTGACCTGTATGATCATAAGAAAACCCGAGAAAATGATTGGAATCAAAGTTGATTTTATGATGATAATTGCTCATTAAAAAAAACAACCACACACTGATTTTCATACAAAACCATGTCTGTACAAATATGGTGGCACTGGAATGTGTAACGTTGAACCCCACATGGGCACAATGTGTTAAGCCCATTTCTGGTGTCCCCCGCCGTGATATTGCTGGAATATTGCTAAAAGCGGCGTAAAACTAAACTCAGTCAGTCAGTCAGTGTAACGTTGAATTTATTGGTGAATGTGAACATTCAAAATGTCATTTTGCGTGTAGCATAATACACGACTCAAGGTCAATATCGAGTGTAACTTCCATGTGACTGTATGACACCCAGCACTCTCCTCCCCATACCACCTGTCAGCCTCCTGATCTTCTGAAGGGGCTGTCTACGCCATTCCTCGTGTAATGCAGCTTCCAATTGGGCCAGGTTCTGCACAGGAGGATCCCTTTGTTGCACACGACGACCAATCATGTCCCAGATATGCTCCAAAGGGTTAAGATCGGGGCTCATTCAATCGTGATATATGTAAGGGGGTGCTTAACTAAGTTCTTTGTGTATATTTACGGGTATTGTGTTCTGGACCTTTAGTTTGCAGTTTAGTTTGCAGTGTTTCCGTGACTAGTTTGAAACTAAACTTTAAAGTGCGTAATGTTTTGGTCACATCAGTTTTCAAGTGTGAATTTTCTCCTGCCCTGCAGTCTAGGATCCTAAACTACCTGAATCCTTTCAGTGTATATACCCTACTGTATATAATCGTAATGGGGCGGTGTGGTAGCCTAGTGGTTAATGCGTCTTCTCGTTATGTTGAAGACCCGGTTCGATTCCCAACATGGATACAATGTGTGAAGCCCATTTCTGGTGTCCCCCGCCGTGATGTTGTTGGAATATGGCTAAAATCGGCGTAACACCAAACACACTCACTCACTCTTCATGCTTCAGTAAAGAGATATCAATACACAGATAATTCAGAGCATTATAAACAGAAGGAACAAAACCCTTTCCACATCCCTAACTAATCTCTTGTTAGACGATTGTACAATTGTGACTATATCATGAGCATCTATTTGTTTCAGCAGTATAACAGCTGTATGTTTTTGTAAACAAATCGAGTCTGGACAAGACAATCCAGTGATTGTCACCATACGATGATAGAGAATGTGTTTATGAATCACTATGAAATAGTGATGATACCAGGTGTTCGAGAAAAGGTGAGCGTATCTTGCCCCGCCGAAATGAATCACACTGTAACAGCCATTTCATAACTGAATATGGAATGCTAGAAGGGACATTGTCGCGTTGTCGCCCTCTAAAAAACAAGCAAAAAGAGGCAAAATTAACCAAAGCGCGATAATGCGACAACGCGACAATGTCCCTTCTAGGATTTCATAACTAAATGCCCTGTGAACACATCTGTCATTTAATTCTTGAACCATGGAAACAAACACCACTGCAAACCGTGACATGATTAAATTAATGGATTACATTATTTTCTCTACAAACATGCATCAGGTGGTTAGGCGGAGAAATATGTAAATGTTTTAACCAGTAATTGTTAAGAGATTCTGATAATTGCATCTGTTCAGCTCAATCATTAATCATTCTGCCATCAGTTTTTTAATAAATTGTCAGAAATTAGTGTTTAAGCCGATTTAGGTGCACTTAGCAGTGATGTATGATGGGAGATGAATGATTGTTACAAAAGCAGCTTTGAAAAGACACTTTAAAGTTAAACAGGAACAATGGGCATTTTTATTTAAAGAATAAAAGGTTTGTACTTTTAGTATGACCCGAGTTGCTTGTCCTTATGGTGTTACGGTTAATATTTGCCGTGACAAAAGGTTTAAAAGTCCCCTTTGAACCAGCAAAATAGAACACAGACAAGTCTGAAATATTCAATAATATATTGAACAAACAATGAGCAAGCTACAATGAATGACAATACAGATATCTAGTACAATGCAATTGAGTCACAAATCTAAAATATTGGGTCATAAATATTAGATATTAACTCACCAGAGTCTTGACATTCACAGTGAAAACAGATATACTGATTGAAGATTGGTTACAATGACAGTAGACGAATAGGCAAGCACAATCAGTCTTGAAATGTTGAGCAAACTCGATGATGGCAGACAGATATGTGTATACCTCCAGTGATGTGAAGTCCCATCGCACAACTCAACAACCAGCCTTTATATAGCTTTAACACAGTTCTCGAGCATTCTAGCAAAGCTAGGCTTCATCATCATTCCCTCGGAACGCTATGGATCATGTGGAACTCACGGCATGATGAAAGCCGTAAATAAACAAGATTGCCAAGGGAGGCAACTCTGAAGCGCTATCAAAAAGGCGTGCCGCTAAAAATACTATTGCCATTGAACATATATGATGCGAGATGTGAGCCACAACCCACACTCAAAACTTTAATCACCGTGACCCATAATAACTATCACTTAATCAATATGATATTACGAATTATAAAAAAACACACCCTCGTAACAATATCAAATTTGTAAGATATGTAAAAAAGTGTAAATTAGTCTGTCGTACAGACATTGAAACAAATATACCCAATATGCAGCCCATGCAAGTCTAGAATATTTGGCAAGTGTAGATGAAAATAATGATAGTCTCTGGGCTCATTTTAGTTTATTTTATGAATATAATTCAGGAACTGTTTTTTTTTTCTACGAAACTTTAACGATATTTTATGTACCTATTTCTGTTATAACCCCACAAGACCTTAATGATGTCTTATATATTGCATGTTATGTAATAGGTACCAATTTATTTGAGAATTGAAATGGAATAAAAAATTTTTTTAAAACACACCAAAAAAACAAAAATACAAACAAAAACAAAACAACTGGGACAATTCTTGAGTTTGGAAAAGTTAGAACC